TTTTTTTCTAATATTTGTATTATTTTATATATATTAAATATATATAAAAATATACATTTTATAGAAATAAATTGTGCGTAATTAAGAGGTGAGATCATTTCTAGTACAATGAAATCCTCTCAAAATACAAAATATTAAAGGGGTCATATGATGCGATTTCATTTTTTCCTTTCTCTTTGGAGTGTCCCCTTTAAGGAATACATTTTAATATTATTACTAATATTATTAGAATTTAAAATATAGATAATTTGATTATATATATATATTCATTTTTATTTATATTTGTATTTGTATGTGCATGTATATAATGCTTATTTGTACATATATACATAATGTTTTGTACATATATGTACGTATATAACATATATAACATATGTACAAAACAGACGATGATGTGTTATAAAGCATTTTGAATACCTTCATAATGCAGTGCATGTATAGGCTTCATGGAAACTGTTAGCTGATTTATTCCTGCTTGAGATCAATCGAGAGAAACCGATTTGAGAGAAAGCAGCTAATCCCGGTCTTGCAATAGCAGCACAGGAGTAAGCAGGAGATAAGATAGCTTTGTCAGAAACACCATTACTCTCGACCCCTTTGTGTGATTGTGTGCAAACACACAACATTTGCAAAGCTGAGGGTGAATTTAAAGGCAGTCTTAAGCAACAGATAATGAAGAAACAGCATGCACACACACACACACACACACACACACACACAGCTCTCTGTAAGCATGTGATGTGGTCGGTGCGATGTAATCTGCCTAATTTCACTCGTCAGCACACACACCTGACGGGAGATTCTCCCTCACTCACACTGATCTGAGACCAGCGCAAACTCTGAGACACGAGCACATGCACTCCAGAGTCATTCAACCCTGTTCATATGAGCCGCTTCAGGCATTCAGGTTATTACAGGGTTATTATAACAAAACTCAACCTCATTTTTTTTTTTTATAAAATTAACGAAATTAATTTAGTGTACTAAAATAACTAAAACTAAACCTGAAATAAAATTTACCAAAACTATATAGACATATATATATAAAAAAAAAAGAAAATACTAAAAATTACATAAACACAACAAAATTACTAAAACTTTAAAATTTAAATGAAAACGTAAAATAAAAACTTTTTTAAAATATTAATAAAAACTGTAATAGCACCTCAATTATCCTAAAATAACACTGGCTTCAGGAAGTCAAACTAAGTATTATATGAGTAGTTTGGTTTTCTTTTAATTTTCTATGCAGTTTGTGATTCATGCAACCCTGTTACCAAAATTTGAGACACATACTGTATAAATACTGTGTATAAACCATGATTTCTGTTATTTTCTAGCAATAAATATAATAATAATAAAGTAAATTATACAAAATTAATAAAAGCAAAATGCACACTAAGAAATCACTCAGTAGGTGCTAGTTATTTTAGGATGAATGTTATAAAATTAAATCAGAAAATTAAATATTAATAATTTTTTCTTACAATAATTTGTGTAACAGGGTTGAATGGTTGAGCTGAACTTAATAAATAAATGAATAAAAAACGAACTAATTAAATAAATAATACCAGTAACCATGGCAAAAATGTGACAACTACTGCAAAATAAATAAACAAACAATTTCCTTATTTGTTTACTTGCTTGCTTAAGTAACCATAATGCATTACTAAAATACATTAATAATTTAAATGTAATTATTAATTATTGTTTTGATTTTCATAAACAGTTAAATAAATAAATTCATAATTTTACTTTAATTAATTAATTAATTTGTTATTAATTAATTAATTTGTTATTCATTATTCCTTAACTACTTAAAGTAATCATATTATATTTATTGAAATAAATTAAATTATTTTAGCATTTTGTTTTGCTGTCCATACATAGTTACTTGAATAAATAACTAGTGCGTTCCCACAGGATTGCATTCAGTAATCCTGTGTGGATTTTACTGTGGGCAATAATTGCTGATAATCATGATATTCACAAAAGCCCAGTGTGAGTCATTTTAATCCTGCGTGAAAATGGTTTAATGCATTAGCTGATTACAATCATGAAATTATAAGAGTAATAATGCCATTAACCATAGCAAAAATGTCATAATTACACTAAACTGACATCCCATTTTGTCAATTTGCTCATTTAATCCTATATGTGTGTGTGTGTGTGTGTGTGTGTGTGTGTGTGTGTGTG